GCGGCGGCGGCGGCGGCGGCGGCGGCCAGGCTGTAGGCGCCGAAGCTGTGCATCATGAGCGCCGTCTGCTCGCGGAGCTGCTCCTGCTGGTGCCGCTTGAAGCGCTTCCGTCGGCGGAGGAAGGAGCCGTTGTCGAACATGTCCTCGGACTGCGGGTCCAGCGTCCAGTAGTTGCCCTTGCCGGGGTTGCCGGGCTCCCGGGGGATCTTGACGAAGCAGTCGTTGAGCGAGAGGTTGTGGCGGATGGAGTTCTGCCAGGCGGGGAACTTCTCCCGGTAGTACGGGAAGCGGTTGCTGATGAACTCGCAGATGCCGCTCAGGGTGAGCTTCTTCTGGGGGCTCTGCAGGATGGCCATGGTGATCAGGGCGATGTAGGAGTAGGGCGGCTTCACCAGGCTGCTCTTGGGCTTCCCGCCGCTGGAGGCAGCACAGGAGGCGGCGGCGGCCGAGGAAGAGGCGGGCCCCGGACCCGACGGGGCGCCCGCAGACGCCGCCCCCGGGGAGCCCTCCTCGCCGCCGGCCTTCTCGCCCTCGGCGGGGCTGCACCCTCCGCCGCCTCCCCCGACGCCGCCGCCGGAGCCGGCCTCCGCCCCGGCCTCCTTGGCCATCAGCAGCAGCTCGGACGCCTCGTCCAGGCACGACGACAGCTGGGGCGGCAAGACCCCTGCCGCCGCGGGGCTGGCGGGGCCGGCGGGGCCTTCGGGCTCTCCTCCTCCTCTTCCTCCGCCGCCGCCGCCGCCGGCGTCCCTCTCGTCCAAGGAGGCGTCGTCGCCCTCGCCCACCACGTCGATGTCCACATCCTCGGCCGTCAGCACCGTCGTCGTCGGGCCGGACATGTCGCTGGCGCTCAGGTTGCCGGACAGGGTCATCCCAGCGCCGGGGGGGGGGGGAAGGAGGAGAGGAGAGGAGGAGAGAGCGGCGAGGAAGAATAAAAATAATAATGATACTAAGGTTAAAAAAGAGGAGGAGGAGGAGGAGGAGGAGGAGGGTGGAGGGGGCGGTCGGGGAGCGGAGTCAGCCTCCCCCTCCTTCGCAGGCGCCTCTCCAACAGGTAGGTAGCGGGGATGGACGGGAGAGGACTCCCCTTTCCTTCCTTCCTTCCTTCCTTCCTTCCTTCCTTCCTTCCT